AAGCAGCTAAGTCTGGTAAATATTTTGGGGAGACAACTTAAGAGAATTCCTTCTGTTCCCCACATCTTAGTCCTCTGTAACAGAAATACAAAGTGTGTGGCTTTTACAAACAAACTTTTTTTTAAAAATTGTTTGGGGGGACATAGGGGAAGGCTTTCTTTCTCTGTCTGCTGGTGCAAGGTCCTTGTCTGTTCAGCTTGTTGCTTGTTTCTTTTCAGAGCTCTATGTGGTTTGACATCAGTCTTCTCCCATCTCGGCTTCTCTTGCATGCTTGTTGAATATATATATATATAATTATCTTAAAAGAGATTGATTTAAGGCACACCCTATAGCAATACAGTCTTAGTAACTTTATAACAAAGACTATCCTCAAAAGAGATTATATTGATAGGCATAGGGGACGCAGTTTAATTCTTAACATTCCACCCTTTGTCTCCCCAAATTCATGTCTTTCCCAAATGCAAAACACATTAACCCATTCACATCATCCTAAAAATGTTATATCCATTTATAATTCAAAATCTGATTTTCTGAATTATCTAAAATACAGGTGAGACTTTAGGTGAGGCAAAACACCTCTTATCTTTGTACATATGAAATCAAGAACCCAATTTATGTGCTTGCAGCATACAATGATGGAACAGGTATATGCTAGACATGTTCTTTATAAATGAGAGAAGTTGGGGGGAGCAAAGGGATCATGAATATCAAGCAAGTTCAAAATCAAACAGAACCATTTACATTAGCTCTCAAGACTTAAAAATAACCCTTTTTTTTGGAGGAGAGTGGGGGTCGTGGGGGTAGGGTGTTTTGAGACCGTATGGGTAATGGCCCACCCTCCAGACTCTGGATTTTGGCCAAGATCTTTAAATTCTGAGTGGAATTCCCTCTGCCCTGTACTTCAGCTCCATTGTCTACACCCACTGAGCTGGCAGCTCTGTTCCCAGGGCTTTGGGAGGTCCCATTCTCCTGGTGTTCCAGTGAAAAGCTCAGTCACGCAGCCCGCACAGCATTCTCCTTGGGCGTGGCAACACCTCCCTCTCATAATTGGGCAGCAGCTCCTTCCCATGGCAGCCCCGCACTTGGAACTGAGTTGGTAAAGATCAAACTATTAGAATCCTAGAAGCCCATGGCCTAACCCTTTGAAACTCTGCGTTCCTGGATTGAATTGGGTCCCCTAAAGTTTGTGTCAAATGGTTAAGTCATGATTCTCAGTGGTTTGCTGGTTACTGCATGCTGTACTGTGGCAGTTATGTAATGATCCCCCGATGAGCTCTGATGTAGTAAACCAGTAAAAGAATTAAGGCTGCAATGCAGCTTGGTAAAGTGGCTGGACATTGAAAAATAGGGAGACCTATGACAAGATGGATCGACACAGTGACTGTATCTATGGGTGTTAAACATAAGAACGATCGTGAGGAAGGTGCAGGATCAAGCCGTGTTTCCTTCTGTTGTGTATAGGGCTGCTATGAGTAGGAACCAGCTTAATGGCACCTAATAATGACAACGATCACATTCTCAGTCACTGTCATAGCCCTGAAGGAGCCCTGGTGGTATAGTGGGCTATATAGTGAGCTGCTAACTGCAAGGTCAGCTGTTTGAATCTCCCAATCACTCTGTGGGAGAGTGATGAGGCTGTTTGCACACTTAAAGATTTAAAGTCTCAGCAACGTAAAGGGACAGACAGCTCTACTCCATCCAGTAAGGTCTTTGAGTCACAAGCAACTCAATGGCAGTGAGTTTTTTAATTTGGTCACAGCTCCAAAGTGAGGTAAGCTGGTTTCCCTAGGTTGGGGTCTGCCCAACCTTTTAATCAGATCAGTGATAAAAAGCCAGAGAAGAAACTCTGGTGGATTGGTTAAGCATTGGGTGGCTAACTGAAAGGTCATTGGTTTGAGTCCACCAGTCCCTCTGAGGCAGGAATGAGTGAGAAGCAGAGATAGCAGGGATCTACTACCACCAAGAAAGAAGAGTCAGGCACAGAGTGTCTCCTTTAGACCTGTGGCCCTGTACTGAGAAACTGAGGTCCAGTGGAAGATTGACAACTCCAAGGAACGAGGAGCCTACAGATGGCTGAGAGGAAACAAGGACCTTTCTGCAGAGCAGCTGAGAGAGAAAGCCTTCTCCTAGTGCTGATGCACACATTGAACTTCTAGCCAGAGACTAAAGAGAATAAATTGTGCTTGTTAGAGCCATCCAGTTGTGGTATTTCAGTTTAAGCAGACCTGGTTAACTAAGACACCATGGTTCCTCCCTTTGACATCAAGGTAGCCCTGCTTTCTGTGCTCTGTCCAGCATTTCTGCTCATCTGTGAAAGGCTCCAACGATGATCCTTCTTTTCTTGGAGGGCGAAAGATGGAAGTCTTTTGGCTGGTTTACTGCCTGTAGAATTCCAAGAGGCAGAGAGCATTCTTTCTTTTGTTCTTTCAATGGCTCTTTCCATCTGATTTGGCAAGCCCCGGTGGTGCTGTGAGTCATTCACTGGGCTTCTAACTGGAAGGCCGGTGATTCAAACCCACCAGCCGATCTATAGGACAGAAATAAGACTTTCTGCTCCTTTAAAGAATTACAGCCTCAGTTAGCCCTAGGAGGCAGTTCTACTCTGCCCCAGAGGGTCTCTGTGAATCAGATCAATTCAAAAGAAGTGCATTTGGTTTGGGGGGTCAGTCTAAGCTGACAAGTTTTCTCCTGTGTTGCTGTTCATTTTATCTATCAGTCACAAACCTACTCCATTTTACAGAAGACTAACATACACCATGTAGACTATGATTCCTTGGTGAAAACTCTAGGGTAATTCTTAGTTTGTGCAGTAGAATTTTCCAGATGTTTAAGTTTTCTTTTCATTTTGCACAGTTTAAGTCCATCTCCTTTATTTTGGATTTTACGTTACGCTGAAAGGGGAAACCCCACAGCCCCTTCAAGGTCTTATTTAGAAATCTGCTCAGTCAACCATCTAAGTCCATCACGTACGCATCCTGTGTTCCACCACACATGTTAACATAATTCAGACAAGTTTAACGCCTCAGCAGAAGCATATGTAATACCCACATTTCTAGCAACAGTCTGTTGCTGGCGTCATATGTATTTTCTAAGGCCTGGTCAGAATTGCCTCTGATGTGCATAATGCCACCAACCAACCGTGTCTTCAAGGCAATTTAGACTTTTGCTGTTGCCACCTTAACACTTCTCCAGTCTCCACCTATCCCCCAATTCCAAAACTTCCATATTGTAGGTATTTGTGAGGATAGCACCCGTACTGTTCAGTACCAGATTTGTAGTTACCTGGTAGCAGAAATAGCACAAGTGGATGGCTTTCACTAGCAAATTTATTTTTTCACAGTTTAGGAGGCTATGAGTCTATGATTCGGGGTACTGGCTCTAGGAAAAAGTTTTCTGACTCTATTGACCTTCATGGGGAAAAACCCTCTGGCTTGCTTGTTTCATCACTTTGTAAAACTCAAAAACAATTTATTTACTACACACCCTTCATCAACCCACTCATTAGCATAACAAAGACACCACATTCCCTAAAGAAATATAAACACAAGCATAGAGGTTAATATTTACAAATATTTGGGGTTTACAATTTAATCCATAACACCTGCTGAAGCAAAAACAGCCCTGTCACTACTATTTCACAGTTTGTTTTGAGGGGAAGGTAATGGTTAATAGCTCTAAGAGAAGCATCGATTGGACTAGGCGGTAACATGACAATAAATGGAGAAAAGGTTTGCGTCATCAAGGATTTTGTCATACTCGTTTCCCTAGTAATCATGTTGTAGTGTATCTTCCTCTTCATTTGTCTTTGCCTTCTTAATTTATTCTTTTATAATTTATAAGAGGTTGACTTGGGACACACCTTACATAACTACTGGGTCAGTAGCATATCAGAGATAACTCATTTCCAAATGGGATTATAACTACAAGTATAGAGATTAAGATTTACAACACATCTTTTTCTGTGACACAAATGATTTCTAAACAAAGAGGATTTCTTTCCCTTCTGCTCTGTGTTCTGTTGTAGACATAAGTATCGAGAAGAATAAACCTGGAAGTAGTGTTTGTCAAGATGGGGGAAATAGCCCCGTACATCAGAATAGGTGGGGCTTCAAAACATTTGTTGAAGGTTCCATATCTTTTAATTCCATTTTACCACAAATTGTATGAAGCCATTCACATTGTTCAATTCATACAATAAGGTACCAAGCGTTGGAAACAAAAGGGACAGCTCTGTTGGCCAAACCCTAGATAGAGCACATAACTGTGTGTTGTCTCCTTAGGAACTCTCAGTTCCTCAGGCCTGGTGGCTTCTCCCATCCTTTTGCACTCATTAGAGAATACGGTCCTTGCTGATCCAGAGTATTTGTGATATTTTAGGACATGGTGTTATTTGAGGATGTAGCTGTAGAATTTACCCAGGAAGAGTGGTCTTTGCTGGATGTATCTCAAAGGAAACTCTACAGAGATGTGATGATGGAAACCTTTTGGAACCTAAACTCAGGTAAGGATAGCTTCATTTTTCTTACTCACTTCTTTATTAAATGTTTTATATTCTTTTTTTTTACAAAATTTAAGTTGAAGAATTGAAATACTTTGGCAAACATGACAGATGTTTTCACAGCCTTCAGGGAACTTAAACTCTGGTGGCTTTACAATCAAAATAAAGGTCTGTGGATTACATTGATAGATTAATACTCTTGATGTTAAAAGGCTTGATGCTTTTTAAGTGTGCGTGTAGGCATTGCTTTCAGGGATAACTTTCAGTAAGAGGGGTTTGTGAGTTAGTGTTTTAAGGTGGTTATTACAAATTTGCCATAATTATTTTGATGTGAGTAAACTTATACATACCCACCTTTAGTTTTACTGTTGGAGAAATGTGCTTCTCTGTCTTCCCTCATGATCTCCTTTTGCTTATGGCCATGGTGTTAAACATCCTTTTTCTTCCTGAAGCATAGGGGAAGGCTCCTAGGAGAGGGGCTGTGTCCCTGAGGTGCCCGAATGGCAAGAAGCTTTTGCGAGACCAGCCTTTCTGTGATTGAAGTATATTGAAAGAAATCAGGTTATGAAAGTCTCTTGGGTGAGAAGACTGAACTTTTGCACAAACCATGGCTGACTTTTTGCTTTATCTTCAATAAGTTCTCTTATCTTCTATGCTTATTAGTTGGGGAGGGGGGGAACCCTCCACCATTTCCACTTTTATTGTTGGCAGAATTCAAGGATCCAGGATTGCTTGTCATTGTTTTGGCCAAAGACAGAGACCAGGTTAATTAGAGAAATTCTTAAGTTTATTTTTACAAGTACTAGACAGAATGAAACTGCTTCAAAGATTTAGTGAAAATCAAGCAATTTATATACCTTAAACCATGTGACAACAAAAACAAACAAACCCCAAACTGGTTTTATAATGATCACAGGAAGCACTTAAGAGATTTTGCAATGATCACAGGACACAATTAATATGCTAAACAATGTGACAAAAAGGCAGGTATTTCAATGATCATAGGAAATTATCTATACCTACATCTCCCCAGAGGTCATTAGACAATCATCCCTGAAGTCTCATCTAAATTGGGGAATGCTTCTGTGCCTGGCTTTACTCAATCACTATCCCTGAGTTCTCTGTGTGGGGGATGCTTCGTGCCTGGCTGCTTATCTTAATGACCTTAATACCACCTTCATGAATTAGACATCCCTATTGATTAAGTTTAAACTGAACTTTTACTACAAAGGTAGGAGCTGCTATATTTTTGGATTTTTAGCAAACTGAATCTTAAATTATATTTTTAGTATTTTGATTGACAGCAGTCTAACTCTTGGTGGTGTACTGGTTACAAGTTAGACTGCTGACCCTAAGGTCAGCAGGTCAAAACCATCATGGGAGACAAATGAGGTATCATTTCTAATTCTGTAAAGAATTACAGTCTCTTAGTGTTTTGCCATGGCCCAGGTCCCAAGAAACACTGAAAGCATGTTGCAGGGCCTAAGCTTTGGATGTTCAACAAACTAATGGACATTTTTGCACCCTCGTCCATCAATGGGTCCCCACAAGCTGAGTGTCTCCCCCTCTCATAATTTTCCTCAGGAACAGACTTAAGTATGCCTTGACTGGAGATGAGGTAAAGAGAATATGTATACATCGCTTCAACAGAATTGACGGCAAGATTTGAAATGACATCACCTACCCTGCTGGATTCATGGACATCATCAGCATTGAGAAGGCAGGTCAGCATTTCTGCCTGATTCATTGTATCACAACTGCAGAGGCAAAGACAACTCACTCCCTCATGGGGCCATAACTTGGGCATAGAAGCTTGGATTTGCAATGCACTGTGGCAAGAATGAGCTTTTTCAAAGAATTCATGATTGGCCAGGCCCAAGTGGACCCAGGCAGATGTGAGATGGCAGGACCAAGATGGCAGGGCAGGTGGTGCAGGCTAAGTATCTGGAATTGGATGCATTCCTCGTCTGCCTCAACCAGGCCCTGAGCACGGAGAAGGAGGAGGTGATGGGGCTGTGCATTGGGCAGTTAAATGATGGCACAAGGAGTGACTCAAAATTTGCACGCACTGGAACTGAATTGCGAACTGCTGGTAAAAATGTTGACACTGAAGATTATTCACACTCATTCTGTCATCATCATGAGACATCCTGATTAAAGGAAGGACCCAGTAGAGATTTCTCCAGAGAAGTTGTCTATGACCTCAACAGAGACAGAGAGATTCGTTGAACTCACAGGTCACCCCATGAGAATTGTGGGCTGGTACCATTCCCATCCTTATAAAACTGTTTGGCTTTCTCATATTGAGGTTCACACACGCACAAGCCAGGTACCAGATGATGGACCAAGAATTTTTAGGATTGATTTTTTTCCTGTTTCAGTGAAGATAAAAGCACCAAGACTGGTTAGATGGTCTACACTTGCTTCCAATCTGTACAGACCCAGAAAAGTTCAGCATATGAGAGAATTGAAATCTCAATCCATATTGTGCCTCCTGTCACCATTGGGAAAGGGTGCCTTGAATCAGCAGTAGAGTTACCCAAGATCCTGTGCCAGGAGAATCAGGATGCACATAGGAGGATCCACAGCCTTACACATCTGAACTCAGTAACCAAGATCCATAATGATTCTGTGTTTACCAAGAACCTGTGCAGACAGATGTTAGCAGTCAGCGAGCTTCTCTTGCAGTGGTTGGAGGACAGACTGGAGTAAAACCAACATCATTTTCAGGAGTTGCAACAAGAAAAAGAAGAGCTTATGCAAGAACTTTCTTCCCTAGAATAAGGCAGGAGATGAAATGGGGAAAGACAAAGTACCCAGATATAAAATTAATTACACCAAATGAATTTTGAAGACATATAAAGCTCAAGGCCTCACTTTAAGCTGGTAGAGGCACAGGTATAAAGGGGAATTAATTGAATAACTCTGTATCTTGATGTAATTAAACAAATCTATGCCTGTGTTAAAATTGCGTAGAGTAACATTTATACACACAGTAATGAATGCATGTAAGATCTGGTGAACTGAATAAGGTCTATAGTCTACTTAACAATTGTACCATTGTCAGTTTTTTTAATTTTGAAGTTGCACTGTAATTATGTAAGATCTTTCCTATTGGGAAAACTGGGTGAAAAGCACATGGCACTCTTTGTACTATTTTTGCAACTTCCTGTATGTCTACAATTACAAAATAAGAAGCTGTAAGTATTAATTTTTTTAAAAATTACAATCTGAGAAACCCAGAGAAGCAGTTCTACCTTGCCCTATAGGGTCAGAATTGACTCAATGGTGGTGAGTTATTGATATTAACTTTATTCACAATACCTTAACATTTTGTGGTGGTATTTATATTCTACCTTTATCACCTTCATGCTCCAACATCATTATTTACAAAGTCTATTACTCTTAACCATTGCCAAAGCCCTGGTATTTTGGGGGTCATATGTGCCTTGCTTCTCATTAGATTGTATTGCTAATGTATGACTAATCTAAACATGCCACTTAAAATTATTGGTCAGTTTTCCAACAGGATAATAATAGACAAAATTTGAGTATGAAGAACAACTCCTGGTCCTCCACGTTAGGGGCAATCTGTGAATTCTATAGCACTGAAGATCAGCACAACAAATGCAGAAGGCTGATGAGGTTAGTGTGATTCACATGACAGCGGGCAGTCACTCAAAAAGTATATTTAGATATCAAGATATTTGTGTTTGTAAAACTAATTTGAAAATAGCATGTTCACTTGATCTTCACAGCATATTCTTTCCATAAATGTGAATCACGTGTTGACTGTTGACACCTATTTAACTTATAAAATTATTTGAAGATTGACTGTAATGGTAGCCCCCTTTGTAAATGATTCATTGCATTCAACATGAGATAACTCATGGAAGAAAATATATATTCACTGTGAAGTATAATTTTGAAATGGTAACAAATTTAACCCTCACAAATTGCTGTCTTTTTTAACAGAAGAAATACAGTAGAGAGGCTCCACACAAGTAAAGAAGAAATCAAGAAATGTGAAGTACATAATCAATGTGGAAAAACTCTCAGTTGGACTGCAGATTTTACTGGATTAAATCCTTCTGTGTGGCCTGATTCCGGAAAAGTCTTCATGGGCCACACATCATTTAAGGATCACTTCATATCTCACACTGCATATAAACCTTATGATTATATGGATTGTGCAAAAGCCTGTAATTGCCTCTCTTACATAAAACTTCATCCAAGTATAGTTACTGGAGAGAAACTTGGTGATTGTGAGGAATATGGAGAACTCTGTAATTTTTCCTCATCCTTCACTAAACAAAGAACTCACGGTGGAGAGAGGCCTTATGAATGTAAGCAATGTGGGAAATCCTTTCATCAGGTTTCTGCCCTCAACAAACACCTAAGTATTCATAGTACAGAGAGGCCTTATGAATGTAAACAATGTGGGAAAGCTTTTAGTCAGGTTTCTGCCCTCAACAAACACCTAAAGATTCATAGTGGAGAGAGGCCTTATGAGTGTAAGCAATGTGGGAAAACCTTTAGTCGATCTTCATACCTCAAGATCCATGTTAGGACTCACAGTGGAGAGAAACCATATGAGTGTAAGGAATGTCAGAAAGCCTTTAGTCATGTTTCAGCCCTCAGTAGACATATAAGAATTCACAGTGGAGAAAGGCCTTATGAATGTAGGGAATGTGGAAAAGCATTTTGCCATTCCTCAAACCTCACTACACATCTAAGAACTCATAGTGGAGAGAGGCCTTACCAGTGTAAGGAATGTGGGAAAGCCTTTGGTGATTCATCAACACTCATTAAACATTTACGAACCCACAGAGGAGACAAGATTTATGTGTGTAACGAATGCGGGAAAGCCTTTAGTCATGTTTCGTCCCTCACTACACATTTCAGGACTCACAGTGGAGAGAGGCCTTATGAATGCACTGAATGTGGGAAAGCCTTTAGTTATTTTTCAACTCTCACTAGACATCTAAGAATTCACAGTGGAGAGAGGCCTTATGCATGTAAGGAATGTGGAAAAGCCTTTAGTGATCCATCAACTCTCATTAAACATTTAAGAATTCACAGTGGAGAGAAGCCTTATGGGTGTAAACAATGTGAGAAAGCCTTTAGTCAGGTTTCAGCCCTCAATAGACACATAAAAACTCACAGTGGAGAGAGCGCGTATTAAAGTGTGTGGGAAAGACTAATATTTGTTATTACCTTGAGGAACACATAAGAAGTCTTGGTGAAATCTAAGGACTGGAAGAAAATTTTTAGTTGTTCCTCATGCCTCAGTGGACTTGGAAGAACTCCCAGAGGAGAGAGGACTGATGAGTGTAAGGAATGTAGGAAACTCCTTAATATTTCTCAGGCTTTTGAAAACATTTGAGAAAGTTTAGTGGTGAAAAATAATTTATGTGTAATAAATGATACTGAAAAATATTAGACCCCTCATCTTTTACAAAAATACAAAGAAAGTACATGGGACATCAGCATGTAGTATAAGAAAGCTTTTTCTTTTCCCTCCAAACTTTTTGAGTTGTGCGGACTCACAGGTATTGGAAAGTCCCCACTGATTACCTCCCCTGAAATGTGAGGAACCGTATATGATTAAAATTATACATATAAAATGAAGAGCATGTAAATGTGTAAAAACCTTATGGAATTCTTACAAAGCATGTCATACATGACAGTATAGATATTTGAATGAGGAAAACCTTTAGTGTCCCTTCTCACAACCCCTGTGAAACCTCACAGAGATTCTTTATAGGCAGGGTACCAATTCAGTTGTAGCCCATGGCTATGGATAAATGTCAAGATGTTACTTTGTTTCTGTTATAAACAAGTTGTTATTTCAAAAGCTCATTGATCCATGAGTATCTTGAAGTGTGTGTTTTTAAAAAGATTTTATACTACACATTTTAATATAAGGTGTGCTCATTAGAGAAGATTTTATTTTAATAAAAGATTATGAGGAAAATCCTAACAGTACTCCTTAAATCTTTTTTTTTTTTTTTTGCTTGTCTTCTTTGTGTACAAAACAGGGTTTTCTTAAAGGATCTGGAGTATTCATGTGTGGTGCTATACAGACTTTTTTTGGCTTTGTTTCTTTCATTTACCCTCCAAAACTATTATGCTTCCCATTTACTGAAGAAGAAGAAAAAAATCCCCTTAAAAATGGTGCTGTAAAACCCCTTAAAAAGGGGTTTGCATGGGAAGATGTCATTTAGGGGCTCACTAATATCAACAGCCTATATTATGAGAATGTAGCTTCTATTTTCCCAAGACCCAGAGCTGGTGTTTTGAGACATGGTTCATTTTTGGTGCTTCTATGTTTTCTAAAGTTATGTTTTAATCAGGAGTTGAAGATTCAATTCCTTGCCTGGGCTGCATTGGTGGATGCTACTCCAACAGGGCATGTATTTTCAATAGGACCTGGATGCTTATTCAGAGCCACCATTTCATGTTAAATTGATAGCTTCCTCCATCACCCAAGTAAATGGCCTAGGATATTGTGGCTGTGGCCCAGAATATTTCCCACAGACTTCCCAATGTTCATGCAATTATCTCGTAATCAGCATATGGAAATAATTGGGTACCTTAATTGTATCAATTAAGAATAGCTATAGAAGAAAGATAATTTTGAATCAATAAATGAATTTGCAAAGGAAAACTTTAGTGAACCTGCCACTGAGTCGGTACTGACTCATAGTGACTCTATAGGGCAGCGTAGAACTGCCCCTGTGTGTTTCTGAGACTACAAATCTTTGCAGGAACAGTTTCTACCTCAGAGCTATTGGTGAGTAACCACTATACCACCAGGGCTTCTTTAGTTTACAATAGGAGAGGAAATTGTGCACAATTGAATGAAATACAAGGTATAAAATAGTGTATAATTTAGGATGGCAGTTTTAGAAATCATTAATTATGCAGATAAACCAAACTGTAGAGAAGCTTACAAATGTCAGGTATTCTCTCCTAGAGAGGAGACACTGATTTTGTTCTACTTAATAGCCCATTTTTCTATACTCATGGAGCCCTGGTGGTGTAGTGGTTACACATTGGACTGCTTAGCACAAGTTCAGAAGCTCGAAACCACTAGCTGCTCCACAGGAGAAAGATGGGGTTTTCTATTCCTGTCAAGAGTGACAGTATTGGAAACTCATGGAGGTAGTTCTACCTTGTCCTATAGGGTCAGCATCAATTCAATAACAGTGAGTTTTGGGGTCTTTTTGGTGGGGGGGGAGCGGTTTCCCCTACATGCATGGCTTACTACAAGTGTGCTACTTGGGGTTGTTTTGTGTCAGCTTGGTTGGATCAAGATTTTCAGTAGTATGGTAGCTGAGGCCTCCTCCATGATGTGACCTAACAATATAATCGATCCATTATGGGATCTGCTGTGAGCAGCCAAGCAGTTGTGGGAAGGTTAGGGTGTGAGGCAAATCCTTACTCAAGCCATAGCACTGATGCATATGGCCTACTTCACATACGTAGATGCTGCATATGGCTCAATCTTTGGTTCTTTTAACTTGGGTCAGTGGCCTGCCAACCTTAGCATATTGCCTGCCAACCCTGGAAACCATCAGCAGCCTCCCACACGACCTGCTGAGTTGGATTCAACCACCTCTACATCTACCAGCTAGTGATCTTTCTGATTCATCTTCCTGCTTTCTGGTTCATATTCCTGTTTCATCAACCCTCACAGCTACACAAGTCACTAGAGCCTTCAGCTTAACATCTGATCCATGGACTTAAACCAGACTGGACTTTCCCATTTCTACATCTGTGTGACCATTTTTTTTTCTTAAGTTTCTCTCTTTACATACATATATAAGCATCACTGCTTTTGCTTCTCAACCTAACTAGTAAAATGTTTTAAGCTGATCAACAATAATTCACTATCAGAAATGAACATGTTTTAAATAAATAAATGTTTCCTATATCTTGCATTGCAGCAATTTCCACAATAGCAAACCCATGGAAGCAACCCAAAACCCCAACTAAAGAGGAATGGATAAACAAGCTGTAGAGCATTCATTTTATAGAATTTTATACATAAAGAAAAAACAGTGATAATTACTTTAAACACTGCCAGACATGGACAAAACTAGAGATCATTGTACTTAGCAAACTCAGTCTTACAAAGATAAATATTTACTATCACCATTGTTATAAGCAAAAACAAAGATGAAGAAATGTGGTCTATACACCCAAAGGCAAGAGTTTGATGACTACAAGGAGGCCAGGGATGGAGGGGTGGGGACAGGGAAAGGGGAGGATTAGAAGAGGGGGAACAAAAAAATGGAGGGTTTAACAGAAAATTTAAATAAATGTTGCTCCATAGGGGGGAAAACCCTCCAGATTCCTTACCCCTCGGATCTAAATATTGGTCTATGTGGCCAAAAAAGGGAAGAAAAGTAAAACTGAACTGGACTTAGAGTCTTCAGCAACATACATTTCAAACAAACAACAAAGAGAGAGAGGAGGGGAATTCAACTCCATGTACTCCCTATGTTGAATTGAGATCTCTCCCAAGGAAGAGACCAGACATGCCTGCACCTCATGACTCACTACTTTTCTACTAGTTTCAATAATGTGTTTCATTATCTATACAGAACCCACAGACGACACTCCCAATTATCAGAGTTTACAAGAGAAGTTAAGTTACTACAAGCCGTCACTGTGCCCTTCCTCATCAAGCAGCCCATTCTCTCTCTGGTCCTTGGTCTATCACTCACATGGCCTCTTGGCTTCTTTCTTTGTTGCCTCACAGACTCATATTCTTCATGCTGCCTCTCTGCCTCACAGTCTTCTTGCTTCTGCTTCTGGTCTCAATGTGGCATGGCCTATGCTGCCTCTACTACTTCAAGCAGTGATTTTGAACATGCCTGCTGGTCGCTCTTCTTTCTCGATTGTCCTGTGAATTCTCTATTACTGCTTCTAAGATGCCTCATTCTTATACCCGTGAATGCCCTGTTGTTTCATACATATCTGCTTTATGATTTACTTAATGCAACAGGTCTTTTGATCTCATGACTGCTGCTTCCATGAGCATTGATTGTGAATCCAAGCAAGACAAAATCCTTTACAGCTTCAACCTCTCCTACATTTATCATGATGTTACCTATTGGTCCAGTTGTAAGTATTTGGGTCTTCTGTACTTTGAGTTATAATCCATACTGAAGGCTGCAGTTCTTTATCAGCAAGTGCTTCAAGTCCTCAATTTCAGCAGGAAAGATAGGGTCATCTGCATATCCCAGGTTGTCAGTAAGTCTTCCCCCAATCCTGACACAGCATTCTTCTTCAGATAATCCAGCTTCTCTGATTATTTTCTCAGCATATAGATTGAAAAAGTATGGTTAGTGGATACAGTCCTGATGCCACCAGGACTCTTTGGAAGACTGATACATCACAAGGATAGTTGGGGTCACAGAAGTGGGAATGAGACCTTCATTGGGACAAGCATGTTGATAGAACGGCTTACCAGATTGGTCCAGGGCCTTCCTGCCATGACAGTAGTGTGCAACTGATAGGACATGACTGATGACAATGTGACCTTCCTGTAATGTTCCCACTGTGTACCCTCTATCGGAGTAACTTCTCTCAAGGACATATCCAGACAAGCTGCTAAGAGACTCTTGACCCTCCCTGGGCTAGCTGCAGAAAGATGGAGGTAATTATTTTCTAATGCACTCTGCCTGAAACCAAGATTACCTACATCCTTTGTTGACGATCAGAAGCAATTCAGTGGAGGCTTCATCTCTGTGGGGACTATTCAAATGGATTTTGGACTATCACTGTGATCAATAGCTTTCTGAAAACTAGGGCGCTCAAAATTTAAACTGATACAATTGTATGATAGAATTGTGCAATTCAAGTGACTTCTTCATTGCAAATACCCTTTTCAACAACATAAATGGTGACTGTACATGTGGCAATGAGCCCTGGTGGTGTAGTGGTTTCACATTGGGCTGCTAACCTAAAGGCCAGCAGTTCGAAACCACCAGCTGCTCCTCAGGAGAAAGTGGAGGCTTTCTACTCCTGTAAAGAGTTACAGTCTCAGAAACCAACCGGAGCCATCCTACTCTGTCCTATAGCATCATTTGGAATCAGCATAGCCTTTATGGCAGCGAGTTTGGAGGGTTTTGTTTGTTGAGTACACATGGACAAGAAATCAAATGACAGATTGCATCGGGCTAATCTGCTGCACAAGACTTCTCCAGTGTTGAAGAGCAAGGATGTTACTTTAAGGACAGTGACTTTTCTATAGAGGAAAGGTGCCATGAATGACCCAGTTCAGACCCATAGTAACCCTACACACAACAGAACAAAACAGTACCAGTCCTATGCCATTGTCACAACTGTTCCCTTTTTCCTATCCCCAAGCCTATTGGTGTATCAACTGTGTCAATCCATCTCCTGAGAGCCTTTCTCTGTCTCACTGCCCCTACATTTTACAAGCATTATGTCCTCTGGGGACTGCTTCTCCTGACAACATGTCAGGCAAGCAAATAGATAAGACCAAATCTTGCGATCTTTGCCTCAAAAGAGCATTCTGGGAGAACTTCTTCCAAGACGGAGTTGTTTGCTCCTTTGGCATACAATGGTACTTCAATTCTTCACAAGGACCATTATGCAAATGCATCCATTTTTCTTCAGTCTACCATATTCAAAGTTCAAGTTTAACATCCATATGAGGCAATTGAAAATACCATGGCTTGTGTCAGGTACACCTTAGTCCACAAAGTAACATCCTTGCTTTTCAATACTCTGAAGAGGTCTTGTGCAGCAGATTTACTGAATGCAATGCGTTGGCTGATCTCTTGACTGCTTCCAGGAGCATTGATTTGGATCCATGCAAGATGAAATCCTTGACAACTTGAATTTTTTTTCTCCATTGATCATGATGTTATCTACTGGTTCAGTCGTGAGGAATTGGTATTGTTTACACTGAGTTTTAGTCCGTCCTGACAGCTGCAATTCCGGATCTTCATCAGCATGTGCTTCCAGTCCCCTCCCTTTCAGCTAGCAAGGTTGTGTCACCTGTACATGGCAGTTTGTCAATAGGCCTTCTTCCAGTCCGGATGCCACTATCTTCTTCATCCAATTTCTCAGATAGAATAAGGATGGTGGGAGGATCCAACCCGGACACATGCTTTTCCTGATTTTAAACCATGCAGCCTTCTCTTGTTCCGTTACCACGACTCCGGACAGATGCCACACTTCAGGGGAAGGCTCTGAACCTCTAAGTCAGCGCCCGGAACCCCGCCCTTTTCGTTTCACTGACAGTCCCAGAAACCGGAAGCGGAAGTGTTCCTTCCCTGGATTGGCAGCGGGTCTGGTCCCGTCCCTAATGCGGCGAGAGGTGGGTTTTCCTTTAACCGGCTTGCAGGAGCCGCCACTAGAGCAGCGCGGGGGGCACGGGCGCCGCCCCTGCTCTCTCGCGCGGTCCCAACCTCGCAGCCCCTGCCGGCCGCTCACGAGCCGCGGGGTCCCCGGCCCCCCGCCATCGCCGGTGCCCGGCGGGGCTCCGGCATCGGGGGGCCCCTGGAGGGGTGGCTCGGCACCTTCACGTGCAAGCTCGCGTGCATCTTTAAGCATAAGTGCGTTTCCCAGACCAGCAGCGCCCACTTCACCTGCCGCCCCGGGCCGGACTGAGCCCCTGGCCTGGAGCCTGATGCTCGGTGCCCTGCTCCCACCTCCTCCGTCCGTCCGCAGCGCCCCCCCGCCCTCCCTTGTTTTCGGTGTTTCCTCAAGACAGGGCTTCTGCTAAATCGTGCTGGTCAGAGAAACAGACAGACTGACCAGGAATAGATCCCCTTGCCTTGAATTGTGAATTGTTACAGGTAGTCCGTCTGATGTGGGTGCTCCCTTAAAGAGGGTTCCCTAGGGCCCCCTCTGTAGACTCGCTAGGATTCTGAATCCATTTGGTGGCGGGGAGTTTGTTTGTTTAATTGTTAGAGATCTGTAACACAGATGAAGAATTAAGATACGTGAGATGAAACGAAGACGAGTATATCCCAATTTCAGGAGGAAAGTATTTAGTAACAGGCACATTTGAGGACTTTGACTGCGAGACAGACATTCTCATCAGGATTGTGTGGGAAACCATACGGGTAACCCTAGTTCCTCAGTGTGATATAGCTGAACCATCTTAATAGAGGTGATGTGCAGTTGATTGAGCTCACACCACGGGTTTCTGAGATCTCAAAGATTCCCAGAGCCAGGAACGGGGTGAGAATGGGTGCTGGTGACTGAACCCACTTATGGCTACCAAAGAGGCACCCTGCTTAGTAGAAAGCCCTGCCTAGGGCAAGAGCTAAAGGGTAAGAGTCTCTCACTCTTTATTCATTACTGTCTCCTCCCTCATTCTGTTCCCATTTCAGGCCTCAAGCATCCAACACAGAACACCAACCCAGAGGAGGCAGCTGGGGCCTGTGAATGACCCTCTTGCATACCCATGCCATCACAAAGAAGCATTTCAAATACTTTGATTGGCTGCTTGGACCAAACATTCCTCTCCGTCCAGACTGCCCAGTGCTCCTACTTACACTCCAATCCCCGTACCTACGTGACTTCTTGGGCTCAGAAAGGACATTTCACATAGGCTTGAAGTAACTGGAGCCAGGAAATGGTGAGTACCACGGAGAAATGGGAAATTCTGATTATAACAGGATGAGACTAGATATCAATTGTCAGTGCACCAGCCGTGCGCTCTGTTTTTGTTTTTGGTTTTTTGATAGCAAGGTGGCACTGAGGCCAAGGAGCGAAATCCTTAGACTTAGGCATCCTAAAACATTGCTCCACTGTCATTGAGCCCTGTATAAATATATGCAGTTTTTTACATCTTGAATGCTGGCATCACTTTTCTTAGGTGACTGTCCGAGCTGGCACATTAGGCCCAAGGTAGTCACAATGCAGGGTTTTCTAACACCCTGAGCCTTGGTTTTCTGTGTTCTTTGACAGACTCCTGTCCATAGCCTGAATCTTTGCCTGAGGAGGCTGAACCCTAGTCCTTGCAAGCTGCTCCCCTGTGCCATCACTTCAGTCTTCTTGGCCTGCCCTTGGCCTGTTAGTACAGGAGCCTTTTCAGTACTGTTGTAAAACCACAGCTCCTCCTTTCGTGTGATGCGGCAAAGAAAGCAAGAAAGAGTTATCAAGAGACTGTTGACTCTATTGAGTCCTTAGTGGGCTGGGTCACTCTCTCAGCCTCGTGAAGGAATGAGGCAGGAGAGTGAGTCTAGCTAGATAATGGGTGGGATCTGAAGAGCATTTTTGTCCAGTAAAGTGTGTTTGAGACTTTCAGGTGAATGAGAAGTATGAGAACTGTTCCAAGTTAACTGTGTTCAGGGTGTGTCTGGGCCTCTAGCTGTTATGAAATTTCTAACATTTCTGGCTGCTTCCCACAGTCTTAGATTAAAAACGGAATTTATTTATTTATTTAACCAGAGAAACATAGCTTATGACATGGGTGTATTTAGGTATCAGGGTCACAGGAAGCAAATTTCAGGATGCATTTTTTACATTTGTATGGATAATTTAATATTTTATTGTATATAAACTTTTCAAGTGCTGGAAAATGACTATTTTGACTCATATAAGTTATTCTAAAGCAGTATTTCCCAAAGAGTGATATTGCCCCCAGGGGCCAGGGTGGGGGCCTACAAAAGCAGTTACTTACACCTTATCCTGGATTAGGATTACACTTTATCCTGGATTACACCTTATCCTGGATTAGGATTACACTTTATCCTGGATTACAGCAGGTCTTCTTTGTCAGGGCAGTGCTGAGTAATCCCCACCCCCCACCCCCGAAAAGAGGGTAGTAGGGAAGTTTGGGAACCTATATTCTAAAGCTTACTTAAGTATTCAGAAGAATCTCGACTATAAAATTGACTATATTGTGTCAAAATTTCTAATGTGCTAAATCTTCTAGCCATTTTGGAATGGGATATAGTAGCTGAGTGGGATATAGTAGCTGGTATAGACTGGTATCCCTACTTTAAACAGAGAGGTCTGGTTTAGTTTTCTTTGATTTGCACAAATATACTTCATAATTAAAAAAAGAGATCATATGTGATTAAATTTCAAATGGTTATATATTTATGACTGGGAATTTTTAGAACACATATTAAATGATCACTATTGCTTTATAATAGTTTGAAGTCAATTTTTTTGAAGTCAATTTCTTTATCCAGTAAAGAATCCCTTCAAATTTTAAAATTCAGTGTCAATTTAAAATAAATATTTTATGAAGACTTATTCCTACTCTTGTTTTCATTTAGAACAATGTTTCCCCAGGGGCAACATTGCCCTGGGGGGTGATTGAAAGATGGGGTGGGGGGCACAGAAAAAGCAGATACCTTCACTTTATCCTGGATTATGGGCTGTAGTATAAAAGTTTTCACTGCCAGGGGGACACTGAGTAATGTTTTTTTCTGAAATCAATTTTTTCTGAAATCTAAGCTGTTCTTCCAACTGTTACCTTTAGATAATGAGCTTTATTGTAAGCTTTCATAAGCTTCTTGCCAGAATTTCTTTATGCAAATTCAAGAGAGTAAAATTTGACATTTTTATTTTCACCTTTGTTACTAAAAAAGAATGTGGCATTTATACTTTTTTTTTTTCAGTTAAAAAATTACCCACAGAGCTCTTCATAGATAGTTTTAAGTTTAAAGTTATATAATACTACATAATATTGTATTTGGTGGCTTTGTCTTAGTTTTTTTTCTATTTTCTTTTTTTTCCCTTTTTTTTTCTATTTTCAAGCTCACCGTCATGAATGCCACTTGGATAGTTTCCAGCTATGTGCCGTTGCATAGTTTGCTGTGGTGTCATTCCTGTTAGGTACCATTGTTGGCTTCTCCTCATAATGAGCCTGTGTGCAACAGGAAAAAAACCTTGTCTGGTCCTCTGTCGATTTTCACAATGATTCCCATATTTGAGCCCATTTCTCCTGCTCTTGTTGAGTCCGTCATCTTGTTGAGGGTCTTTCTCTTTCTCGCTGGCCCTCTCTTATATTTTACCAAGCATGCTGTCTTTTCCACGGTCTGGCCCCTCCTGATGACATTTCCAAAGTACGCAAGATGAAGTCCTGTCATCCTTGGTTCTAAGGAACATTCTGGCATGTTAATTTTGACACAGATTGGTTGGTTCTTCTGGCGGTCCATGGTTTATTCAATATTCTTTGCCAACAACCAAATTCAAAGGCATCAGTTCTTTTTGACCTTCCCTATTCATTCGCCAGCTTTCCCAGGCATGGTAGGTAATTTAGAATACAATGGCTTGGGTCAGGTACACTTTACTCATCAGAGTAACAGTTTTGCTTTTTAATACTTTAAAGACACTTTTCCCCAGCAGATTTGTCTAATGCAATATGTTGTTTGATTTCCTAACTGTCGCTTCCATGGACTGTGAATCCAAATGAAATCAAATTCTTGACAACTTCAGTCTTTTTTTCCATTGATTATGTTGTTTACTGGCCCTTGGGTAAGGATTTTTGTTTCCTTTTGTTGAGGTGCAATCCATATTGAAGGCCATAGTTTTTGTTTTGTTTTTATCAGTAAGTTCTTCAAGTCTTTTATGTTCAGCGTGTCAGATAGGGTCATCTCTGTATGATATTTTGTTAATGAATCTTCCTTCAATTCTGATACCA